TGCAAAAATTTGATCATTAAAGAGCACAACATCTATGAATCTAAAATAGCTTCGACATTAACCCAAGAACTGTATCCTGGCCTTGAAAAAGCTAAATCTTGATGAGGACCATAAATAACCATAACCAGAAATTCTTCTTCGATTGTATGCGATTCATTTGACTTCTTAATTATAATTGCTTTGTCTATGAATTTATACCATGCACTATGAAAATCAAATTGGCTATCAAATGTAGACTGTGGTGGGAGATTGATACAAGCCCTAGAAAAAGGGTTCAAAAGATGAATTTCAAGATCACTTCCTATGATAACAATCCATCCATGAGGTGACCCCCAACACCGCCTACCACGAGCTTCAGGTAGTTCTAATTCATAAACCTTGTTCTTATATAAACTAAAGAAACTCCTGATGTCACTGTTTTCATTATCGGAGAGCATTAACCATGGAATCTGAGGACCGGGAGTCCAGCTTTTGGTCAAATAAAATGATCTCCATGAGTGACACACAAAAGAAAATGAAAGAAAATCTTCAACAGCATGCAATCTAATTGCAATCAGCCGAATAATATCGTATGGAAGTTGGGAACAGTCAACCATCATCAATTTCTGACAAAAGAAATGCAATAGAATTAAGTTCATGATAAGTTGATTTTGTTCAATCATCATTTGAAAACCAATACAACTATGAGTTTCAAATAAATTGTATAAGGAATACTGTGAAAATTCCATAAAATGAAATCATATTCTATCGTTTTGTTGTCAATGGAAGTCAACGCACAAAGATAATAATGCAAACACCAACATTGCTTCACCTGAGCTGCTCTGTTAATCTGCTTCATCTGGTTTGTTAGCTGCTCTGCTATTCTGTCTTGTTCATTCTGGTAAAAGTTGGTATATTCAAGTCCCATGCAGAACAGGAGAATGTATCCAGTGGTTTGGCTGCTATCTGGTTGTATTGTTTCTGCTTGAACAGAGTTGTTGCTGATTGATAATGTTAATCCCTGCAGTATTCACAATGGTGTTTGAACAGAGGTGTATTGCTGGAAGCTTGTTCCAGCTCCATAGCTGTCTTTCTGGTTTTCTTTCTGTTGTTTTTTTTCTCTGTTTGTTGGTTTCTCACCAGCTAGGAGGTTGGAGCTTGTTCTAGCTCGAAGCTCCTCTTTATTGATGCCTTCTATTGTACTTTGTACGTGCATCATCAATGAAATTTTCTTTGCCGATAAAAAAAAAACATTGCTAAATTAACTATCATTCGTTAATTTTCTTTGCCGATAAAAAAAAAAAAACATTGCTAAATTAACTATCATTCGTTCTATACTCAATTAAATAAAAAAAAAAAAACATTGCTAAATTAACTATCATTCGTTAATTTTCTTTGCCGATAAAAAAAAAAAAACATTGCTAAATTAACTATCATTCGTTAATTTTCTTTGCCGATAAAAAAAAAAAAACATTGCTAAATTAACTATCATTCGTTCTATACTCAATTAAATAAATTGATTACCTAATCAACTGTATCGAATCAAAAACTCATTTCGTCTTCGAATTTCAATCTTCCCTTTCATTAGTTTGGTTATTTCTAGTGTTTCTTTTGCCACCATTGTAGCTCTTTGGAGCATTTGTTTTATTTGTTCTTAGTGGAATTCGTTTTGTTCATAGATGTAGGCTTTGGTTGAACCACGTAATTCTTTGATTTGTGAGTTTGATTGTTTGATTGTCCCTTTTTCGAAATTCATTTATTTTGATTGGTTCTTCATATTCATAATTATCATAAATCTTGCCGCAGTGGGTTTTCCGGGGGCTCTCTGCAGAACAATTCCATCATACGTAGTTCCTAAATAACAACAAAGAAATATTTTCTAAAAGAACTGCAATTTCATGTCATAAATGCAAACAAGATCACTTATCAAGATCATCAACTGCTTTTTGGATGCCGAGAACATAGCATTGAAAATGAAAACAATAAAAAAAAAAGACAAATATAAGGCGTGAAACACCAAAATAATTCACTCTCTTCTTTTCCATCTTCTCCTCCATAGCTCAAGCAGTAGGGTATCAATAGAAAGGGCATAATCAATAACTGATAACCTCTAGCTTAAAGTTCTCTTCTTTTCCATCATCTTCTCTATAGCTCAAGCTAAGTGCATCAACAGAAATGGCATATCAATAATTGAGATGCAAAGACAGGGGGCATGAGCGCTCCCGAGGAGATAACATTCAAGTATAGAAGAGCTCAACCTGAGTGAGCAAATCCCGGATCCCAGAAGACATGATCTCGGCCTAGATGAGTAGGTCCGAGAAAAGAAGAGCTCAACCTGAGTGAGCAGATCCAAGATTCCAGAAGATAAGATCTCGGCGCCTGAGTCCGAGAAGAGAAGAGCACAATGAGCAGATCTCAGATCCCAGAAGATAAAAAGGAAACACACAAGATCAGACTAAAGTTGGCCAGAATTGAGAAGTATGCTAGGGCCGAGGAGGACATGCCGGGAACAAAGGCGTCGGAACAAGAAAAGAGAAACGGCTCGCCAATGCGAGGCCGAAAATCAAACTCAGGTTGGAGCCAAGTAAGATCAATAGAGAAAGATCTCGACGTTGAAGAGGACAATAGCAACACAGACACTCGTGACCAGAGTCACGGAGTGAAAGAAGCCGGCCAGGAAGGTGACGTACCAAAGACAACAGATCGAAGCAACGAAGATGACCTCCAAGTATGGAATGATAGATACCTGCAGAAGAACGAAGACCCTTCCAGAAGGGATGCAAAGACAGGGGGCATGAGCGCTCCCAAGGAGATAACATTCAAGTATAGAAGAGCTCAACCTGAGTGAGCAAATCCCGGATCCCAGAAGACATGATCTCGGCCTAGATGAGTAGGTCCGAGAAAAGAAGAGCTCAACCTGAGTGAGCAGATCCAAGATTCCAGAAGATAAGATCTCAGGACCTGAGTCCGAGAAGAGAAGAGCACAATGAGCAGATCTCAGATCCTAGAAGATAAAAAGGAAACACACAAGATCAGACTAAAGTTGGCCAGAATTGAGAAGTATGCTAGGGCCGAGGAGGACATGCCAGGAACAAAGGCATCGGAACAAGAAAAGAGAAACGTCTCGCCGATGCGAGGCCCAAAGTCAAACTCAGGTTGGAGCCAAGTAAGATCAATACAGAAACCAAGGTCGACAACCTCGACTTGAATTAAACCTCGGCGACAAGGTCGAAGCTACATGTATGATGAGCACCCAAGTGGATTTTAAGTTCACACTGGGGGCAGAAAGAAGAAGAATGCGTTTACCACTTGTTGAAATTTGTAGCAATTTACAAGTTGAAGTTAAGCTGAGATGGTTCCTTATCTTCACTTGTTGAGATTTGTAGCAATTTACAAGTTGAAGTTAAGCCGAGATAATTGTTTATCTTCGCTTGTTGAAATTTGTAGCAATTTACAAGTTGAAGTTAAGCTGAGATGGTTCCTTACCTTCACTTGTTGAAATTTGTAGTAATTTACAAGTTGAAGTTAAGATGAGATGGTTTCTTATCTTCACTTGTTGAAATTTGTAGCAATTTACAAGTTGAAGTTAAGCCAAGATTACTGTTTCTCTTCACTTGTTTAAATTCGTAGCAATTTACGAGTTGAAGCAAAGCCGAGGTTATTGCTAAACACTTGTAGCAATCTACAGGTTGGTTAAACCAAAGAAGATGCTTAACACTTGTTGAAATTTGTAGCAATTTACAAGATAACGTTAAGCCGACATATGACCATGTGTTGAAATTTGCAGCAATTTACAGATTGAGGAAAAAGCTAAGTATGTTGTTTAAACACTTGTTGAAATTCGTAGCAATTTACAAATAGCTTATTGTTTAACACTTGTTATGTTAATCCTTGTTGATCCCTGTTACAGTATATGTTAATCCTTGCTAAACATTTGTAGCAATTTACAAGTAGGCTAGACCGAGATCACCGTTTAAACACTTGTTGAAACTTGAGAAAAAGTTTGCAAAGTTAACATTGAGTAGTATATGTTTCACACTTGTTAGAATTTATGAAAAGTTTGCAGGTCAGTATCTTGCCGAAGTAAAAGTTTTGTAGCTATTATACCCGAGGTATGTAACCCCGAGAAGATTGCACAAAGGAGGCAAAGTATGAAAGGCATACAAAATATTCTAAGTATAGAATCATGCAAGAGCAGTTAGAAGAAAAAGAAGAGCTCAACCTGAGTGAGCAGATCCAAGATTCCAGAAGATAAGATCTC